CTTGAGAATCTAAGTAGATCTTGGGTTATTGAACAATTCAGAAGTATTAAGGTGCAAGCAGTTTTACATATTCCTGTTCACAAAAACATGGGCACAAGCAATGGTAGGCAGCAGGTCAAAGGGGATTTTAGGAAGTTGGTAGCAAATAAATGTCACTTGGGCACCTAAAAGTAGGAAACGGATACCTGGTTTTACTGATTTAGCCTCAAGTGCCTACCATGCTAGTCAAGTAGTGGTTGGCATGGCCACACTGGAAAGCCACTGTGCTATCAGTGAGGCAGCATGAGTTCTGTCCTAACTATTGCCAAGGGCCTGCCATATGACTTTATACTTGCTGATATTTTATTTCTCCTTCCAAAACAGGAAAATGGGGAGATTTCTGGACTTTTATCATGTTTCCTTCTCAAATTGCTCTAGGTACAGTTTGTCATCCCAAGATAAACTTGCTTGCCACTGGGGAGAGAGAGAGAGAGAGAATTAGTTTGAACAGGCATAGTTTGTGTGTGCATCTGGTGTATGCAACTTTGTCCTGTGTTCATAATAGAATTGTGTGGTATAAGGGTTTTGCAAGTAGCTAGTAACATTTTTATGAGAACAGGTTAAATATGTTGCTTGTTTTAAAACCCATTCTCTGGTTGATCCCTAGGAGAGAGTGCAGCAATTCTCCCCATGTGCTCATGCTGTTTAGCTTTTGCTAAATATGAGGAAAGCAGATTATGGCTTTTGAGAGCTAAGCTTTGGCTTTTCTGCAGGTCTGCATGAGGGGTGACATTGCTGTGGTGCCTTGAGTATAAAAATGTTTAGCTTAGAAGCGTGCCTAAATAGGTTTAATACACAAGCTTCAGTAGTCATATAGATAGCTATTTCAGTTCAGTTTAAGCCTAGCAAAAATAACACATACCAACTAGAAGCAAAAGAGGCCCTGCAGCCTTTTGTACTTATTTAAGTGCATTGGTTTAAATTAAATTAGTGCAACCTTTTTTTTTTTAATGCAAGCAATGGCTGAGTTAAATGCTGCTATCAGCTGGAGAACGAAAATTCTCAGTATCTTACAAGTGGAATGGTTTACTTTATCAGTACCTTACAAGTGGCATGGTTTACTTTATCAGTAATGCAGTAATGGAAGGATTGGGGATTAGAAGTTCCAGAGAGGCTGTGCTTCTTCCCACAATTGTTCTCTGTAATAGAGGATGGGGGTCAACCCTGACTGATTTTGTCCAGGTGGACTCAGAATATTGTACGGAGAGAGGTTACAATAAGCAGTTTAACGCTCATTAATTGGAAGGTGTTTATAAGAACTCCCCTCTCAAATTTAACTCTGAAGTAACCAGAAGCCTACAAGATCGCATACATTTATTTACTACTAGAATTCCTATTACAGATCCCTGTCTTGTAAAACCACTTCTCCTGGAAGAACAGGCAGTAGACCATTCTCCTGAGTGTTAGGTTATTCACTACCAGTTTGAAAACAAATCCATGCCTGAGCGTTCTGTTTGTTTTCTAGCATCTAAGCTTTCTTCTTTCATGTGTATGAGCTATTGCACATGGTAATGTTAGGATAAAATAGCGTAACACAAGCCACACGGCTCTGCACGCTAAAGGAGCATGCACAATACTTAGTTGGCACACATAACCTCATCAGGTTTTCATATAGTTTCCAAAGGGCATTTAATTTCTAGTGTAATCCTAGGCAGTTCCTGTTTAAGTAGAACACATACATTGAAGTCAACCTGTACTTTCTAGTGCTGATTGATAGTTCCAGCAGGGTTGTTGAGCTGCATTTATGTAGACACTGAACGAAAGCAGTGGCATAGAATGTGCACTATTCGTGTGGTCGTCACTTGCCCTGACATAGCAGAATTAACATTTTTTCAAGGAATTATTCTGTAGAGTTCCAAACAGCTATATTTCTAAGCTTTAACTGTCTCATATTCTTAAAACAGAAACCATTAGAAACTAGTGTTGTAGTGCTTTTTTCTTTTTTTAACTGGTCAGTCTAATCTCTAGCCTGCAGCCATTGTTAAACTGCTAATAAAAAAGTGCAATATAAGTTAAATTATAAGTGCAATATAATTTTTGTTAAATTCAGAGAAATTCAACAGTTCCTTTTTTCAAGGCACTGGATACTGCATTTGGTGGGGAAAACTACATTCTCAGAAATATTTCCATAGTATAAATATTTGTATTTACCTTCAGCTTAGCATAATAAATGCTTTTTGGGTAGCTTTTCCATTTTGGAGAGAAAACGTAAGTGGACCATATACTTGTATTATAAAATAACTAGAAAAGATAGTTTGTGTGCATGTGAGTAAGGTGTGTATTTGCTTAACCTTATCTAGTGTGAACAGTTTTCCAATACAATATTTGGGGGTTTTGTAGCTAGTTTACATTCCCATAATGCATATCCCAGGATTTCCTTAGCATGTGCAAAGGATGACAAATATCAGTACTTCATACAACTATATTTAATAAGTTATTACAGAAAAAAATAAAGTCCAAACTACAAAGTTTAAGCAGTTGTAAGCAATAGCAGCATTGAGCTCCATGTTTAGTCACAGTACTGCAGTTCCATACAAGCATTAGTCCAAGCCAAAAAGGAAGAAGCCTTGTTAGAATTACTAGCAAAAACAATCTAAGAGAACATGTAATAAAAGATACAGTACATTTAAAATTAGTTGAAAAAACAAGTACAGAGATCTTAGCTGTGAATGCTCTAAAAGTTATGTCCATTATTTTGACAGTAAAATTACAAATATTAATACTTTATACCCCAACAGAACTACGTCCAGGAAAAAAAAAGAGCCAAAATTATCTCTTATTAGCACCCTGGTTTTCTACTTACTGCTGAACTTTTTCTCATGTAAATTTGAGTGTGTCAGAATTATGTGACCAATGTGATTTCTGACCAGCTACCCATTTGGGGTATAGAGTAGTCACTAACATGAATATAAAATACTCTGTGGTATGATAGAACACTATAGCAGCAGAGATTAAGAAGTTTGTCTCGTTTAAAAAAAAAGAAAGAAAGGAAGGAAAAGAAAAAAGGGTTTAGCTGACATCATACAAACTAGCATAAAAGCAACTACATACAAGCCAGATTAAACAAAAGAGACATTTCTACAAATCTGTGACTAATCTTTCACTCATACCTTGCAAGTAGAGATGTCACAATACTGAAATATTAACATGGGAGCTTTTCCCAGTTAAGCGCCTTTTTTTTTCTTTTTTTTTTTCTTTTTTTTTTTTTTCTTTTTTTAACTACTCTAACAGATAAACCCATCAGCAAAGTTATTTGCTAACTGCATATTTGCAATACAATTTGTTTTAGCCCATGCCTTCCTAGCAGGCTATAAAATACAAGCATGTAGGCAGAAATATAAGCATAAACTTTGTACCACTTAGCAGGAATTTTTTTATTCCCTCTTCATTCCTTAATCTCCTTTGTTTGCAATTTGCGTACATTCCAACCAGTAGTACCTAATTTGAGTCTAAATTTTACTTCACTATTTGATCTAGTCTATACATTACTTACAGAACTGAACACACAGGATACACAATAGACCAGCTCTAGACACATTTCTTTCCGCAAGTTACAGATGAGCCACTCTAGCACAAGTTGGTCTAAAAGATCATCAATAACTTGTTGAAGTAATTGTTTTGTCTAGAGAAAGTCACTGTATGCCCCGTTTACGCAACACCAGTTTTAGTCTGGATTGTTTTAGGTGCCAGAACAGAGTCACTGGCTTCAGGAAGGGATTTCTTCTGGCTGCACAGGGAAACAAAGGTAATGTAAATGGAGGTGAAGCGAAAGGTGTTTTGATACTGGCACTTGGTATTGCCAATACAAAAGAAAAAAAAGGACAAAGACACAAGAGAGGCAGAGAAGAACGGAGAAAGACAAAGAAGCTGAACAGATGTTCAGACATGGTGGCAATATGGGTTACTGCATTGCTACCAGGAAATGGACATACATTATTTTGCATTAACTAGGCAGCTACCAACACTATGTGGTAACTTTGTTAGAAAATGATGTGGGTACGTACAGTCTGCTCCATGCTGCCACTGAGAAACATATGCAGGAAGGAAGTTGTGCAGGAAAGGGTCAATTTAATTAAATAAATAACACGGTGGCAAAATACAAAGAAGAATATGTATTTTAGGAGGTTCAATCTAAGACTATTGAAAAGAGAGTTTATTGAGTTCATGACAAGAAAAGTAATGGAGCATTATGCTGAATGGGCAGGGTCAAAAACCCATTGTTTCAATAGATTTAGTTCCTTATAATGGCAATAGTATTTCATCAACACTGGTGGTGTATAAATCTAGACAGCGAACTGGTACTGTGACATCCCTATTATCTCCCTAAATCATTTTGATAAAGGAAAAGGCTTTTCAAAATATCACATTTTTTCTGCTTCATTCTGTCATTTTATTGCCCAATTCTTTGTTACAATTTTCCAATCACTTTACATAACCAACCATTTTCATCATTGCCACACTATTGTAAACCACATCAGCAAGTTAATACATAAAGCTTTGCATTTCAAAAAACTAGACACTTTAGTAACAATATTACAAAGATTTTAGCTTCAAAAATAACTGAAAATGAAAAAAATAAACTTTTAAAGAATTAGCATCATAAAATTAATTTATTCCAAGTAAAAATACAAAATAATATTAATGACATTGACCAGATATGAAAGTCTCTCCCAGAAACAACTATATTAATGGTTGAGAAAGCACTCCTTAAAGAAAATACGAAATAAAAATGAAAAATATGTAAATATGTTTAATTTTTTTCTTAGCAAAAAATCTTTCTAAAAATAACAATGAAAATTTGTCTCAGTACAAAGGCTACATTACTATTGAAAAAATACCAGCATGAAGAAAAGGTACATATTTGACAGTAGAAAAATGATTTTAGTGAATCACAATGTCTAAAGTCTGCAATGAAAATAAATCTGCAATAAAGATTTATGCCTTTTTTCTTTTCATTTTTCTTTTTTTTTATACAAACAGTACAAACAGTATTGCACATAACAACAAATAGTCGAGGTTAGGTTAGCCTTCAAAAAAATCGACTAGTTCAAGTCTCACATCAGAAAAGGCCACAATAGGACCTGTTGTACCCAGGGGCTTCTTAGTCAAGTTGCAGTTCAGAACTCCATATTTTAAAAAATAACTTTTTTTGAAGGACCCTCTTTTAATATAACATATTAACAACTCAGGGGCACATTCATTTACAAAACAAAAGGGAGCATGTCATAATTTAATAAACTAAAAAAAGTTCTCTTTAAAAAAATACAAACAGAAGAACTCTCACAATTCTGGTCAGTCGTGCATAATCACACTTGATTATAAATATACAAATTAAGGGAAAATATTTTTTCACCTTCTATTCACAACTTTCAGCACCAAATGGAGTTTGTGTTTACACCTGTTCTTTATGATGGTCTTGTTTTAGATTTAATCCAACATTATGCTATATTGTACATTTTCCAGCTTCTTTCTCTCTCTCTCGCTCTCTTTCTCTCTGGGGGTATTTTTCTACATGAAAGAGGGGTATTTCTTCAAAAAGGTTTACTTCTTTCACATAATTAGGTAGATTTCTGTAGGTTAGCTATGATCTTTAATATTACAGTTATAAAGCTCTAACTTCTTCATTTTCAAAAAAACTCAAATAAGCATGAAAAAAATAAAGTTACCCATCTGTTAAATCATTTTTCTCGCAGAATTAAATTAATATATATTTTTCTGAATAAACTTACTTAGAAAATATCATTTTCTTTCCTATATTTCAAAATTGAGGTATTGCAAAAGATCATGTCAGTCAGAAAGCATGCCTTTTTCTTTAAAAAAAATCATCAGCCGACTGTTGAAAACTGTCTAGATACAAAAAGTAGTGCATAACAAAATGTCTTGTACAGATGAAAAAAAAGAGAAAAGACACCTGGGCTGGGAAAAGCAATATCACAAAAACGCCCAGAAGTAACTTCAAAAGGGATAATTATAATAAGCATTTTAAACCAGTAAAAAACTATTTTTTCTTTTTTTTTTTTTCCAAAAACAGAAAAAAAAATCTTTTCAAAGCCAATGCTCGCAACTAAACATTGGGAAAAACAACTTACTAAATTAGACACAAACAAGGACATCACAACAAACAAAACCCAGAACATTTAAATCTACTATGCGGTGTCATATCCAGTCAGATTGTCCCCAGAACTGCAAAAACAAAGAGGAAAAAGAAAAAAATAGTGTACACATTCTCACAATCATTAGTATACCAAGTGTGTTTATATTTATATGCTATCTGCAGCCCCATAGTTCATGCTAAAAAAATGTCCACTGTGTTAGCAGGTCTTAATTGTATTCAAGCTTCACAGGATACATCCAGGGATTAGAGAGATAACGCCACATCCACAGAGCAGACATCTCATGTTACTTTTATATGCAGACATTTCTTTAGCACCACTTTTTTTCCTAACTTTCTTAAATGTGCCTAGTTTATTAGTTTGACAGACTATCTAATTGGTAGTGTATGTACGCTAGCATGAGCTCTTTGGTTTTCTGGACAAGGTCTGCAGCTACGTAAATATGCAAGCATTAGGAGAGAGATTGTAACTAAGAGCTCATTTCTGCTTATGTACCTGTTATGAACTGTCAAAAATATGTTAATGTTGGATACAGAGGCTTTAACAGTTAAGTTTGATCACAGTACTAGACATAATCACTTTACTATATAAAATAAATTGCACAATATATAACAGAGCACCGCAAAGTACTTCATCTACCATCCACAAATTTGTTTTAAGAATATCCTACAGCTAGTTTTTATATTTGTTGTAATATAGGTCATTCTGTAATGGGCTGATCCTAATTTCAGAAGCATTACATTTACTGAGGCATGCCTTCCTCCAGTCAGTAATCAATTTTTTTGTTACTGAGTATTTTGTAGCCTACGTAGATTCATAATTTGTGCATTGTGGGCAGGTTTTATATTAGACATATATAAAATTTATTGCATGCAGCAACCTGATTAAGTAAACATGCAGTCAAAAAATATTGACCTTCCTTGGAAGCTTTTCTGTATGCTATACTGATCTCCTTTCAGCAGCCATCACTATTTTAATCACATATTCATTTTTTAATTGATACCCTAGCCTGAATAGAGTGTTATGGTATTAGTAATACCATTTTAATAGCAGCAAAAGCTATTGCAGCATACATTTACATAACACTAAAAGACCTAACAAAAAAACCCCAAAACCAACAAAACAAAACAAACAAACAAAAAAAAACCCTCAGCAAAACAAAGAAAAAAGTCTGATCCAGCTTATGAGGTATCATCCTTACAAGTCAAAATGGAGAGCAACTAAAGGCTTATTTTCTTTAAGGGTTATTACTACTCTAAATGACCCAAACTAATGATTGCTGAATATCTGTTTAAGTTTTTGCTACATCTGCCACCTACTTGTGAATATTACCTTTGGTAAGTCATCTGCTAGGGGCAAGTCTAAATTTCTGAAAATAAGTGCATGCTCCAGTTTAAAAATAAAAAAATTTATAATAAAAAAATCTTCATCACATACACATCAACCCAGTGAAGGCTGATGAGAATGGCAGTCTACATAATGTCACTAGTGACAAGTCTTGTGTAGGAAATTAAGGTACCAAGCAGATGTTTGTGTGAATCAAAGTGCAAAATCAGTACAGTTACACTCTGCCGGTTTGTATTATACTGGACACTGAGTTCAGTAATGTGACTGTAAATAATAATAATAGTAATAAAAAGACCCATATCTTCATTAAAGTCGAGGACGAATGCACAGATTTCCAGAACACTAAGCCCTGAGGCAGCGCTCTCTTTTCACTTGATTTTATCTACTCCAGTACTTGTTGCTGGGTGAGGCCTGGGGTTCAGCTCCAGCGGAATGGGACGTGGCGGGGCCGGTCACCTCCCTCCTTTACCAGTGGTTTGTGGAACTCTCGCCCAGCACGAGAGTGTATGCTTGCCCAGCAGTATTCACAGTAATACTGCAAACAGGTAACATTGGCACAAAAGAATGGAGCAAATTTTCCACCACAGCGAGTGCCCTGGCATTCATCACACATCTGATCATCCAGCACATATGGCTTCACTTCCACCTGCACCAGGAAGAAGAAAAATAACTGTAAGAAGATTACACAGTTTTGCTAAGTATGAACAGAGGAACAATATTTTAATTCTTTTGAATTAAAATATATTGAATTAAAGTTGAAGGTTTTCAACTGATGCTGGATTAACCCAAAGAGATCAGTAGTTAAATTTTCAAACCAACCACTTTACTTGTCAGAAAATCTCAAGAAAGAAGGGTGTGCTTTGCTAACTATTCAACATTTCTTGGAAAAGTTAGGTATGTGAAAGTATTAAGATGGAAGTACAGTAAAAATAGCATCTCCAAGGATTTTGCTGCTGTCTAAGAAACCTCCAGGAATGTGAATACAGTTGTTATGGGGGCAGGGTGCGAGAGAGCAGCGTTTAGGAAGAAAAATGATGAAGAACACACTTTTATTTCTAAAATTCAGAGGTCTGGTGAGTTTCAGAGGTTTTTTCCCAGAGAGTTTTTTTGTTTCGTTGTTTTTGTGAACTGCAAAATGCAGGACCAGACTAATAAATGAAGAGAAGATTCAAATTAAACAAGATTAAATGCACTTGTATTAAATACTCTGCCTTATGCTGGCAAAAATCACTATCTAAAGATTTTTAGCTCTAGAAATGTAGTAAGATTTCATAGTTGTTCTAACTATGGCCTTGCCGTCAATTACAAATAGGCTGGAGAGCTGCTGACTTTTGTCCTACACTTAGTTGTAAACGTCTTAGGCCTGGAACTCTTTCTGTTTTTAAAGCATTTTTGCCAAACACAGCAGTATTTTGATGCATGACTAGGCACTAGCAATAATACTATTACAGAAGTTGACAACATGCACGTTCTCTCCTGTGTGTCTGTTCCTAAGAGTCAAGCCTACACATTTAAATTGAGTGTTTATTCAGTCTGGGGAAATCATTAGTTTATGCATGTGTAATTCTATGATGCTATTTATAAAGTGGTTTAAGTACAGTCAACTACATTAAAAGCGATAGAAAAAATTGAAATATACATACTTTTTATTACAAATAATTTTGCTCTAATTGCACAAGTGCTAGTCTGGCAAAATTTGTATATTGCAAGGAAAACTTGACTCCAGTAGCTATGCTTAAATACATACAGTAATAAAGAAACACAGAATGAGATATTAAGTTGAAAAACAAGAAACATATTATACAAAAAAGCTTTATGCTGAATTTTACTTCAGCTTATCCTGATCCCATTTCAACAAATGTTACTCATTTGAAGTAAAGCTTATATAGTGAATTATATTTCTTGTCTATGGAACAGCTAGAACTGCCAATTTTTTTTTTTTTTAAATTACACTGTACTACTAGTATTGCATGGAACAAGTCTGAATAACTGCTATTTTGCATATCAGATGCCTTACCACTAAAATCAGAAGCATCATGTAAAATAGAACAGCACTGTCTCAAATGAAATTGGAAGAAAGCATGTCCAATGTCCAGCACATCTCTAGATCCCCACCTACTCATATTTCCAAAGCATGAACTGTGAAGGTCTGAAATAGATTCTCTCACTCCTTTTCTTGTTTTGGTTACTAGTGAAATAATTTTAAGGATGTATGCTGTACAATTCAGGGATTTCAATCTATTAGATTTAAAAACTAATATTTAAGGACTGATTAAGAGACTTTGTACTTCTTCAAACTCACAGATAAACCTATTTTAAAAACAGATAAAAGATAATTAAGTAAAATTAAATTATCAGTCAACCAACTGGGAAAAGTACTGATTGATGGAAAAAACTACCAGATAGCATCATTTGTGGCTCTATCCTAAAGCTCAGAAAAAACCCCAAGTTTTTAAGCATGGCTGATATATAAATCTCAAAGGGTTCAACACTATGATTCAGACTCCAAAATTAATCTTAGTCTCTCTGGAAAATTTTTCAGAATTCAGTGGTCAAGAAATATTTAGGAACAGCCTTGTCTCAGTTAAAATCGTGAGATATAGTAGCACCATAGAAAAATAGTTTGAGGACTTATAACTCCATGACCTCATCTAATCTGACAAAAAGTTCAGTTCAGATTTTTAAAGAGAAAGTAAAAATAGCTTGGACTTTGCAGCTGTGTGTTTTTATATGTATACTGGACATAATAGACATACCCAATACCTGTCAGGCTGACTTCTTAAGAAACAATTTATATCAGATTAAGTAGAAAACAAGCCATCCCTATTGTAAAAATGCACAGCAGCAGTGCATGCTGTATGTTCTTTTGAATAATTCTAAATGCCAAGTCTTCAAAAATATAGGTGTTATTTGTACATGTAATCAAGAGGTGAAGACAGAAGGTCTAAAGGCAAAAAAAAATCTTGGAAATTAAGTAATGTTTTCTTTTAATGTCTACAACTCAGATTTCAGTAAATACCTTAACTTCACTCTATACTTAAAAAGCCCTTTAGAAACCAGGATTTCACATGGACTGAACAAAACCATCTCATTTTCCCTCCTTTTGCCTATCAGGCATCTATTGGCATTTGGTTTTGGTTAAATAATTCTCAAGACTTTTGAGGTCAGCATTACCTATTATACTTATGATAAACCCGTGTTTCAGGAACCTCATGTCTAGACGTACATTGCCGAGAGAAAATGTTGCCTAATAATAGCAGACACTATATATAAGTAGCCACTAACTAAAAGCCGTTGATGCACAATGAGCAAACATCTAAAGGAGGAGAAAGAAGCTGGGAAAATCTAGAATGTTTGTCCTTCAGAATTCAAAACAAACCAAGAAAAAATGAGCTTACAACCAACTATTTTCTGGTTTTAGTGCTAAACAGTTATTTAAGATGTTTAAGATAACATTTTTTCACTCTGCTTTAGCTGCTTAACTAAGCTTTTAAATAATTAAGAAATGTAATCTGAAGAACAGAGGTTACAGTGTTCTCCAACACAATATTAATATAAGGATGTTTTTAATTTCTGTACAGTTTTGTGAGTAACAACCATTCTGTTCGATGCTATTTTACTTACCCGTTTGTCAATGTCATTATGTTGGAGCTGGACAAAGCGAGCACTGATAGCAGCAATATAGCTCTGCTGATTGGAGAAAGCCACTCTGCCAGCACCTTTTGGATACTTCAACTCTGGGTCTGTATCAATGCCAGCATAGCAGACACCTCCATATAAACGGTCCATAATCATTGCCAATTCAACTGCAAGAAGTCAATTGTTAAATATTATAGATTTAACATAAATAATCATGTTGCATTTGGTTTGTTGCATTAAAAAAGCGCTATTTGCCTTAGCATATTTCTTCCAAAGTCTAAAATAGCAAACCCAAACATTGGTTTTAACAGACTGAATCAACCCTACATGAATTATAGTAAAATATAAAGGCAAAAAACATTATATGTAAAAAGAAACTTGGTGTGACTGAAGTGTGAAAAAAATGCAGAGATACATTGCTAAAGTAGGTATCAGGTCAACTGTTTTAGAATTTATCATATTGTAAATTAAAACTGTGGTATCTGGGATTAGGTATTCAGGATTTCCCCCAGCTCCAGCCAGGCTTGTTAATGCTAGTTTACATATAAGATCACTTAAAGCTATTCCCGTATTTAGAATCTGATATTTTGCCCTAAGTACTAAGGTTGGAAAGACATTAAGGAAGTGGTTTACATTTGAAACAACATTTTGTGTAACATCAGAAATTATTACACTTAAAGCAAGCCTACATTTTGGGTGCACCTTAACTTAGTATTTTTGTAGAACATTAACTTGATTGTGCTTTTTCTGACACTAAGAATAACTCTAAAGAAGTTATAAATATCATTCACAAAATAAGACAGGCTGAGTGCATGGCTGAGGACACATACAGGAAGAAAGTTAAGGGAAAGAACTGAAGGAAGTGGAAAAGAGGCTGAAGGAAGTGGAGAAAAGGCATGTAAACTGCGCAAAGATGTATGGTCACCGAGCCAAGTTCTCCATAAAAGTTGGTAGGCAAACAAATGTGTCAGATGGATGAAGGACAGATGCTCACAAAGCAAGATACTGGGACCTGTACAGGGCCTGCCAAGTCAGCCATTTTTTTATGCTAATGTGTGAAAACACTTTCAGTAGCAAGTTAAAATTTAGCTATCCAAGATAAAATGAAAAAGATATACTAAATATTTAAATCCTTGTAGTTGTCACAAAACTCTCGCTAGTTAGTTCTATATAGAATAGAGATAATTGAGTATGTATGTGTGTTTGTATAAATGTGTGTGTCATATTAAGGGAAGACCATATGCTAATTTGTCCATTTGCAATGAGCAAACAAATGTCTGACTCATTCTACCAAACCAGATAATACTCTTGCTCCAAACAGTAAGGGAAAACTATCAGCCCAATGTAGTGACTAGTAGATTATTCTGCTTTCTAATGATTTGGAATCATCGTTTGGGTAATGATCTCAGAAAGTGACAGTAGGGAATAAACATCAGGAATGCTTAAAAACATTTACAGTGGTAGTTACTCTTGCCAAAAGACGAAGAATATATAGGATTCCAGGGCAAGGAAACCATACAGTGTTCAGACATCTTAGGAAAAACTTCTGTGTCAGATCTTTAAAGTTGCAAACAAGAAAAACTGGAAACTATTTGTCTGCTTTGGAGAAGTTAACTATTTAAAGGCATCAGTTTTGAAATGCATTTCAAATGTAATCTATGACAGGCCAAATGACATACAGTTTTATAAAGGCTATAATTAGAAATGACGTAATGTTTAATTGTTACTATTTACATAATTACCGACTTACAATTATGCCTTATTTTAAGATGGTGAGGAACATGAAAGCTGCCAAGAAATCTGGGCTGGGAGAAATCTTACTGTCAGCAATGGCTGTGGGACCTTGCGTACAGCTTCCTAAAAAAATTAGGATTAGAAGAAAGATAAAGCGAGGAGCTGAAGTTCTAGTAGGCTGGGAAGTGGCTGCCAAAGTAAAGTGAGGGCTACCAGGAAACCTGATCCAGAAGTCTTTCTTCCAGACAATGACTGAGGGGCCTTGTCTACTACAGCCCTGGAAGATCAGGATTAGGGTTGAAAGGATGAAAAAGAGAAACCATGTAGCTAACTTGCATTGAGGATGGAGAGGGACTACTAAACGGAAGTGAGTGCTGCCAAAAGAGGTAGCCAGGAGAATGTTTCAACTTGCTAATGGCTTCGTGACCTTGTCATTGGCTCACCAAAAATATAAAGGTTAGGAAGAAAGAAGAGACTGTTGAGCTACAGTTGGGAGCAGTGCTGAAAAGGGGCCTTCAAAACAAAGTGGGGGCTGCCAGGAGATCTGGGCTGGGATAAATCTTTCCTCTGGCCAAAGGCTAAGGAGTCTTGTCTATGGGTCTGCAAATAAAAGTGAAGAAAAAGAGTTAAGGGTGAAGAAAAAAGATTGAGAAAAAGAGCTACATTAGGAGTGGGTCTGGAAAGGGGTCTTCAGTACAGAGTGGGGCCACCAAGAGACCTGGGCTGCGAGAAATTTTCTTCTGGACAATGGCTGAGAGGCCTTGTCTGTAGCTCAATGGGAAAATTAGGGTTAGGGCTGAGAAAAAGGGAAAGAAAAATCATAGAGCTGCAGTTTGAATTGGTTTGGAAAGGGGCTGGGAGAAGTTTGTCATCTAGTCACAGGAAAAGGGAACTTGTCTGCATCTTAGCTAGCAAATCAGGGTTAGGATTAAGATGGTATACATTACGAAAAATCAGCCAAGTTCTAGGATATTATGCAAACTTGGGGAAAACTCTTTCTACTGAAAATCCTAATTAGTAACCTATTTAAAAAATAAAAAATGTTCACAGTTTGTAATTTGTAGACAGGAAGACACTCACTGATTTGGAAAGTGAGCTACGATCTTTGGAAAAGACAGGGTATATTTTCTGCTCTTTTACGTATACTATCTATCTTTTCTCACCTTTTCTGCTTAATCTGGAACCCCATACTACATGCCTTACATTTTCCTTCTACTCACCAGCTCGGAGGGGCCGTGGAACTCCTCCAACAAAGATAGTTTTTCTTGGATCCAAAGGCTGAGACCCATCCATCACAAAGTCACTGTCACTTAGGTTCCAAGGTCGAATTTGCACCTGTGTTAAGGATTGTTTTTAGTAGAGGAGCTTGACAACTCAAAATTAGGAAACAAGTGCCAAATGTTTCTATAATTAAAAATATAATTTTAACTTAGCAAAAGCAGTAGATCAGTGGTATAAGCACCAAAAAAATTTGAGAACATAGCTTATCTAAGTGTTTGAAAGAAGGTGGACAATTCATTTATCGCCTCTAGAGGCCAGGCTTGAGTTAAATTTCATCATAGCAAACTCCTACCTCATTAATTCCCTGCCCCTAATCGCCATTATAATAAGAAATCTGAGAAAAGTCTTTCAGAACACGTATGTGCAATTACAGTTGCAGTTTGGGCTTCTGCCTTTCCTGAAATCACATGCAATGATCCACAAATTTTAAAGCACTGATAGGAGTGGAGATAAAATTAATTTCTGTGCTTGGATACAAAAGGAGTTTTTATAATGTGTGAATGCTCACTTCAGTTAAGCAGCAAGGCACACAGTTGGTAAGAAATCTTTAGATTACACAGAAAAAAAAAACCTGCTTAGAAGTTACTTGGATAAAGCTGTTCATCCATCCATTTATTGATCCTAGAAATCACGTAAGCACACTCACTGTGCTGTAATACTGAGTTGTTCATTTATCTGTGCAAGCTTTTTAATAGTGTTTTTAAAAGGCAGCATGTTTTTTATCTAATCATATTGTCTGTAGTTTTCATCTAATCTGTATACATCCATAGCCACAAAAGAGACTAGCATTAAAGAATGTTAGAGATGTGAACAATAGAAACAGGTTACCATATGTCTTCTATTCTGCTATAGCTGTCTGCATTACTTGTTTTTACCCTGCAGTTTATATAAGGTAAATGAGACCTAAATTATAAATTGATTAGCTATTGCATGCAGAAAAAATAATAATTAAGAAACCTAATGAAGTACATGGGATATTTGAAGCTATCTGGATTTTAATGGGGGGGGGGGGGGGGGTAGGGGGGGGCGGTGTTAAGTTTCTTCATTTCATTGCATAAGGCTTTCTTTTCTTTCAAATAATATAAAGGGAAAAAATATAGTTTTACAATTAACATTGTAAAAGGATGCATACTCTTTACCAGAAGTACCAAATATAAAAGTCAATTGAACATGACATTTATCAGAAAGAAGCAAATGTTAAAACTGTGTTACGCTGATACAGAAAGTCAATTCAATGTGACAGCAAGGACAGCAACAGGAAATGGACAAGTCAATCAACTGTTAAGTATTTATTTCTTTATTTATTAACTGAAAAGAGTAATAGCAAATGAGTTAGCAACCAGCATAAGTGTCATGGCATAAGCTACTTACTGGTTTATCCTTGATTGTGGGACTTGACACACACAGGTAAAGTTTCCCATCTTCTTCCAGACAGGCATCTATCAGAGCTTGTACAGAGCTTTCTTCCTGGAACAGCAGAAAGGCATAACCTTGGAAAGGATAAAGACACAAGAAAGAAAAAGAACAGATTAATTTATAAAGCATTTTTTTAATAAAGAAAACAAACCTAAGGAATGAATAAGATATGCAAATTACAAATAACTGTAAAGGCTGTTAGTTTGTTTTCATAAATTAAATTCACCGAATAGATCATACTCTCATATAGTATTGATTTCAGAATGGAGACAAGAGTGTTTGCTGCATATGAGTATGTTTATTTGATTAATTAATGATTTTGAGCAGTGAGAATATAGGCTGGTGAATATGGGGTTCTTAGTATCCAACAACTGTATCTGAGCTATTTATTAGTGGTATCTGCTGGTATCAGTGATTATCATCTTACAATGAAGGCACCGAGTTTCTGGTTACTGTATAAAATGAATAAACATTAGAAGAAAGGGTCAAAAAAGTGGACAGGTAAACAAGATAAATAGACTTCTATGCTCACATACTTAACTATGAAAAAAAATGCTAACCTAAAAACAGTAAGCATGAGCAAAAAAGAATGGCATGCGTTGTGTTTTATTATGAGTCAAAGACCTGCTGTTGTTATTTATATTTAAATAAAGCAGTTCAAAAGAAAGAAAGAAGAAAGTCCAATAAAAATTGCTCCAAGTGATTCAGAATTTTAGGATTTTAAATTAGCCAGTAAAACTAAGTGTGTGTGGCGTTCAGTGTTCTTCTGAATGCAGCTGGCAAGAAAGCTTTCTTCAGTCTTAATGTTGTTAAATTTGAATGAAGATTTGACCCAAGCAGTCCATGCTTTTGCTACCTCAGAAGTGAAACTAATACAGCACACTCTACACTAAGCAAAGCCATCTAAAGACTGGCTGCGAGACTTGAATACAGCTGCCCAGTTAAGAGGACTTTCTACCGAGCATGCATTGCTCTTTTGCTCCATAATCAGTACAACTCAGTGTTCTCACTGAATGTGAACGTGTTGGCTTTGACCTTTGTAATTTGGCACTTGTGTGTCTTACAGGCTACCTCTTTTCAGAAAATCTGCAGCAATTAGAGGCAGCTGGAGTTTAAGGAGGGACTGCTAGACTTTCTCTGCCTCAGACTCTTGACTAACTAAGCGCCTACCCGATGATACACCACATGTAAGTTATGACAACTTTTGATATAGCTTTACACAGTCTATTTGCTATTAATATAGTAGTGACTTACCCTAATTTTGCACTGAATATTGAGTGAATACTATTTGGCATGTCCTTTTTAGATAAATACTACGCAACCCTGCTTTATAAAAAAATTTAAGATAGGCACTGAAAAAGTGTTTCCTCCATAGAGTTATTATCTACCAAATTACTTCTTACCCTACTATCTCTAGTCCTGTGTGACTTCTCAAAGAACATTAAATTCTATGCAGCTGTCTGTTTTCAGAGGCCAAAAAAAGTCTGTGTTGACAACATAGCTATAGCCCAGAACACATCTAGAAAGACTGACTTCCCCAGGAAAACAAAATAGTCTGATCATCACTCTTGCTAGCAAACAAGGAACTTGCACACCTAGGGTTGGAGTAGATTAAAGATACCAGTTCCAATAAAAAGTGAAATATTTCTTGAGTAAAAACATCGGTTTCCTCTCTAGCAGATGTAATTCTCTTAAAACAGTCCCCTAAAGATATAAACACACTTCAACATTTTAGTTTTAGACTTTACAAAACTAATTACATTAACTGAGTACGAAAATAATTAGCTTGCAATTACTGTCATTTTTAGCTTCATTTTATTTTCCATCCATGCACCTGTTATATCTTCCTCACTCCATACCGTCCCTTCTGATTATATTCAATGATCAGAGCAAAAACTTTCTACAAATTAAAGTGTCTTTAATTTAGCAGTTTTTTCAGCCTTATAAAATGCCCCAGTCAGAAAACTAGATACTTGGAAAAGACTACCATGGCAACTACACCTCAAAGCCAACTGATCACACTTTATGGTTCAGCCCAGTCCTTGCCTTATATTTTATCTAAATGCCTTGTGAGACAAATTCCCAGAAGATACAGTGCAGATCACTCCAGTACTATGAAATCCAAATAAGAATACATGTACACTTATGCACACTTTAAAAGATTGGTTTACAATATATTTAAATACATTTAAACATTTAGGATTTATCTTCTGACCAGACCATAAGATTTGAACTCTAAAAAACAGAATTTTGTATATTTCAGACTTTTATAATCTTAAACCAGCAAAATACTGGAAATTTCTTTAGCATAATGTTAAAATGAAAATTGGGAAATGTTTATTACTCAGCAAAAATCTGGGCAACAGCTTGGGATGCTTCTTTCTTCTATGAAGCTTTTTCAGGTTTTCCTGGGTCATAGTAAGAGGTTTTATCTGTGGTAGCTGGAGTTGACAGCCATTTGGGGATACAGTAAATGGTATGATCATAATTTCCCAAACCAGTTAAAATTAACCAAACAGATACTTGTTAATTTTCTCTGGCTGGTAGATTACAAGAGCAGTCCAATTTAGTAAGAATTCGGTTTTCTAACCTGGGGCTAGCACCTGCCATGAAGTTTAGTAAGTTAACACCTCCTCATTTCTCTAGACCTCTGTGACTGTAACACATTCGCTCCTGCCTGCTACAGAGTCTCTGTGGGCCCTCTGAAGAAAGACAGGTAAACAGTTTACAGCAGCAGTCTTCTGTTAATCTAGAAAAGCAAGCAGGCTGGACTAGCATGACATGATGTCCAGCATCCCTTCAAAACCTGGTGATTGCACATCTATTTCAATTATTCAAGGACTTTTGATACTCAAGATTAACAAAGATTACACTGAAATGACAAATAATTAAATAACTGAAGTTCAAATACTATAAGGATCATGTAGAAGCTGATATGGACAAGAAAGATACCTGCCAAAGTTAAAGGTATTTGTACTCATTTTCTAGAAGTGCATAGGGATGCAAAAACCTTAAATTCGGAAAGATGCAGCTCCTTCCCGTGAGCAGTGGGAAGTGCTAGGCATTGCTATTACTGAAGACTTACCTTCTTGCTCACAGTATGACTGTTTAGAGCTGCATTTGCTTGTTCATACAAGCAAATATGTGCTTCCATGGATGGACTGCATTTGATTAGAACTCTAGAGCAAGAGATGCACTCGGAACTCAGATTCCAGTATAAAAAATGAAATTGGAAAATACACATGCCAAAACTGACATTGCATAAAGAATTATCTCACACTAGATGCAATTTAATAATGAAATATTTTTTTGCATAGGAACAAACCACCATTTTTAATAGCTTCAGCCACAATTTAAAGAAAAAGCAGCATGCCAATCTGTAAATTAACAGTAATTAATTTACTTCTTCTCTCAGCTGTGTTTAAATGCTAAGTTTGGCTATAACTTTATAAAACTCTAAGAGTATTCCTTCCTGGAGAGATTCTCAAAAGTGTCTACTTCAGGCATTATATCCTGTTCTACTGCATATTTCTATTCCTATTTCTACTACACACAATGAGAGATGAGTCTAATCCCCAAAAGGCTTTACTGCATGGCCAGTTGACTTCTAACATTCAGAATGGTCAATTATAGAGGCTTCTAGGTTTAAAAGAAACTTAATTCATGTTTAAACACAGTAGGTGAGGTAGAATTAATAAGACGATCAGTTTCCAAAACAAAAATGTACTAATCCAAATAACTTGAATTATTCAGCAGATGCTGAAAGTTGCTCCAAATTCCTCAGCATTCTGTGCTTCAGCACATTCTCCTCTCTGTGCATCACGGGTATCATATGACTTAAAACATACGGTTTTTTTCCAAGAAGTAAGAGATTTGATGAATTTCAAAATTTTAACCTTCTACAGCAGAATCTTGGTAGCATGTGTGGTAGTATGCTGCAGACAAACTTCAGCAGTGATCCTTTCTTACTTGACCAAATGTTCTAAAGGTTTCAGGGCTCAAGGGACTGCTCCTGACTCAGATTCCACAAAGTAAACCACGAGAAATATTTGAAGACCCAGAAAATAGCAAGGTACCTGGCAACAGCTGGATATTCTATATACATAGATATATGGCTTCTTGGCAGAGCAGAAACAATCCAGCTCCTTCTCAGCTGGTGGTACAACACATCACTGTAGTGCTGACAATAAACATTGCACTTTGCAATCCACTGGAAAAAGGCAACAACGTATTTTGCTGTAAGAAAAGTCACCACAACTTCTAAAGGGGTACAGCAGAGGGAAGATAAGGAGAAGGTTCATTTCCCTAGATTCTGAAGCACAGCCCAGGAGCTCCTCAACCTTGAGCTCAAGGATTCATTATTTTATGGAAAGCAGTACAAGAACTAAGCTCCTTTGTACATGTCCCATTCTGACATCTAAACAGTGACACAATTTCCATATGAAAGGATAATTTAGTCCAGTTGGTCTAATTTCACTTAACCTCGCTGAGAACAAACTGGAAAATCTGGCTTACACTCTGTGTCCCACAAGCTTGAAACAAGGTTGTCACTTGAAATGCAAGATACACTTGGAACTACCATGTAATGTTCCTATAGTCTGGAAAATCATTTTTGCCAGGCTAGACAGTCTGGAAAAATCTCTATTTCAATTAATATCAGTATAGGCATACCTTCTCTAATGATGGGAACCTTTCTGTATTACTGAAAGCACATTTTGTAATAAGGCTTCAGTGATCTCTTCAAAACAAAATGCTAGATGGAAAGCTTATTAAGCTGCTTATTCTGCCTTTCTTATAATAGCAGAATCTTGATATTCATACTTTTATGTTAAAAACTGGCATGTTGGTACAAATTACAGGCAATCATATTGGAGTTTTAGCTAGAAGTGCATCATGCATGTGTTCTGCCCATCCTTCCTCAATGTAATTAATGTGAAAAGAACTATTCATGAACCTTTATTAGGGCAGAATGTGTACTAAGTGTATCAGGCGAGGGAGAAAATAAACTTATGGGTAGACACCATTCAACTTAGCAAGCCATAGCTGGTAGACTTTATCAGAGAAGACTATCTTC